GTTCCCATACAACTATGTCCTTTGTTATGTTCCCATACAACAATGTCGTTTGTTATGTTCCCATACAACTATGTCGTTTGTTATGTTCCCATACAACTTTGTCCTTTGTTATATTCCAATACAACATTGTCCTTGGTTATGTTCCAATACAACATAATAGATTATTATGTTCCAATACAACATTTTCCTTTGTTATGTTCCAATATAACATTGTCCTTTGTAATGTTCCCAAACAACTATGTCGTTTGTTATGTTCCCATACAACTATCTCATTTGTTATGTTCCCATACAACATTGTCCGATATTATGTTCCCATACAACATGATCCTTTGTTATGTTCCCATCAACGATGTCGTTGGTTATGTTCCCATACGACATTCTTCTTTGTTATGTTTCCATAAAACATTGTCCTATGTTATGTTCCCATACAACATTATCCGATGTTATGTTCCCATAGAACATTATCCTTTGTTATGTTCCCATACGACATTCTTCTTTGATATGTTCCCATAAAACATTGTCCTATGTTATGTTCCCATACAACATTATCCGATGTTATGTTCCCATAGAACATTATCCTTTGTTATGTTCTCATACAACATTGTCCGATGTTTTGTTCCCATACAACATTGTCCTTTGTTATGTTCCCGTACACCATTGTCCTTTGTTATGTTCCCATACAACTATGTCGTTTGTTATGTTCCCATACAACTATGTCGTTTGGTATGTTCCCATACAACTATGTCGTTTTTTATGTTCCAATACAACATTGTCCGATGTTATGTTCCCGTACAACTATGTCGTTTGTCATGTTCCCATACAACTATGTCGTTTGTAATGTTCCCATACAACTATGTCGTTTGTTATGTTCCCATATAACATTGTCCTTTGTTATATTCTAATAGAATATTTTCCTTTATTATATTCACAAACAACTATGTCGTTTGTTATGTTCCCATACAACTATGTCGTTTGGTATGTTCCCATACAACTATGTCGTTTTTTATGTTCCAATACAACATTGTCCGATGTTATGTTCCCGTACAACTATGTCGTTTGTCATGTTCCCATACAACTATGTCGTTTGTAATGTTCCCATACAACTATGTCGTTTGTTATGTTCCCATATAACATTGTCCTTTGTTATATTCTAATAGAATATTTTCCTTTATTATATTCCCAAACAACTATGTAGGTTGTTATGTTCCCATACAACTATGGCGTTTGTTATGTTCCCATACAACTATGTCGTGTGTTATGTTCCCATACAACTATGTCGTTTGTTATTTTATCATACAACATTGACGTTAGTTATGTTCCCATACTATATTGTCATTTGTTATGTTCCAATAGGACATTTTCCTTTGTTATGTTCCAATAGAACATTGTCCATTTTTATGTTCCTATACAACATTGTCCATTTTTATGTTCCAATCGAACATTTTCCTTTGTTATGTTCCCATACAACATTATCCTTTGTAATGTTCCCAAACAACTATGTCGTTTGTTATGTTCCCATACAACATTTTCCTTTGTTATGTTCCAATAGAACATTGCCCTTTGTTATGTTCCAATCGAACATTGCCCTTACTTATGTTCCCATACAACATTTTCCTTTATTATGATCCCAAACAACTATGTCGTTTGTTATGTTCCCATACAACTATGTCGTTTGTTATGTTCCCATACAACTATGTCGTTTGTTATGTTCCCATACAACTATGTCGTTTGTAATGTTCCCATACAACATTGTCCTTTGTTATATTTTAATAGAACATTATCCTTTATTATATTCCGAAACAACTATGTCGTTTGTCATGTTCCCATACAACTATGTCGTTTATTATGCTCCCATACAACTATGTCGTTTGGTATGTTCCCATACAACTATGTCGTTTGTTATTTTATCATACAACATTGACGTTAGTTATGTTCCCATACTATATTGTCATTTGTTATGGTCCAATACGACATTTTCCTTTGTTATATTCTAATAGAACATTGTCCTTTATTGTATTACCAAACAACTATGTCGTTTGTCATGTTCCCATACAACTATGTCGTTTATTATGTTCCCATACAACTATGTCGTTTGGTATGTTCCCATACAACTATGTCGTTTGTTATGTTATCATACAACATTGACGTTTGTTATGTTCCCATACAACATTGTCCATTTTTATGTTCCCATACAACATTGTCCTTTGTTATGTTCCCATACAACATTGTCCTTTGTAATGTTCCCAAACAACTATGTCGTTTGTTATGTTCCCATACAACATTTTCCTTTGTTATGTTCCAATAGAACATTGCCCTTTGTTATGTTCCCAAACAACTTTGTCGTTTGTTATGTTCCCATACAACTTTGTCGTTTGTTATGTTCCCGTACAACTATGTGGTTTGTTATTTTCCAATACAACTATGTCGTTTGTTATTTTCCAATACAACTATGTCGTTTTTTATGTTCTCATACAACATTTTCCGATTCTATGTTCCCATACAACATTGTCCTTTGTTATGTTCCCATTCAACATTGTCCTTTGTTATGTTCCCGTACAACTATGTCGTTTGTTATGTTCCCATACAACTTTGTCGTTTGTTATGTTCACGTACAACTATGTGGTTTGTTATTTTCCAATACAACTATGTCGTTTGTTATGTTCAAATACAACTATGTCGTTTTTTATGTTCTCATACAACATTGTCCGATTCTATGTTCCCATACAACATTGTTCTTTGTTATGTTCCGATACAACATTGTCCTTTGTAATGTTCTCGTACAACTATGTCGTTTGTTACGTTCCAATACAACTATTTTTTTATGTTCTCATACAACATTCATTGTCCGATTCTATGTTCCCATACAACATTGTCCTTTGTTATGTTCCCATACAACATTGTCATTTGTTATGTTCCCGTACAACTATGTCGTTTGTTATGTTCCAATACAACTATGTCCTTTGTTATGTTCCAATACAACTATGTCGTTTGTTATGTTCTCATACAACATTGTCCGCTTCTATGTTCCCATACAACATGATCCTTTGTTATGCTCCCAAATAACTATGTCGTGTGTTACGACATTGTCCTTTATTATGTTCCAATATGTACAACAGAGGTTCTGTTTTACCTATATGTTTTATTTCAATTCAAACAATCAGCGAGGTACTTGAATTATTTTATATCTACCTATTATATCACAGAGCATGGTGTGGAACGGTTAGAGCATTGCATTGGCAACATTACTAATATACATGTAGAACAAATTATATATTAATATACCTATTATTTTGTGTTTACATTGTCATTGTAATTTTTACGAAACGTGTTTTAATTAATATAAAATTGTATTTAAATTTCACTTCATTTTTGTCTTATAAAGGGCACCTCACACTCCTAGGGAAGTTCGTAGAAATGGTCACTAACACCCTCATAAGATGTGGCTATTTTTTTTAATTTGTGTCCTCTATTTGCAGACGTGAAAGCTACCAAAACAAATCTGCTGCACCCATCTCAAACCTTCGGAAACGAAATATATTTCCATTTCACCTCTCTACTGCTTTTCAATCCCTGATGATTTGTTCGGCAATACATCGCTTTCGGCCTTAGTGTTGAGAGTATACCCGAATGAGAAAGGCATCACATGACCGTAAAAATGAAATTATAAAAAAATCATGGCCAAAATCCTTAAAGGACTTTTGCATGTCCTGACCTGGAGGCATTCCATTGCCTTCTTCGCCTGGGCGAAACGAACCGAGACAAGCCGAACTCCTTAACATTGGCACTGTCTGTTCTGTACTGGACGTGCAGCCAAAATACTGTAAGGCCCGAGGGTCAGCAATAATAATGTGACTGGCTGGAGTGTCAATGTAATGATATTTCAGTGTTATGACACTTTAAAGTGACCCCATCACCTGTTGACACAGGCGTCACAGGTCTCATAAAGCATGTAATAAACCATACCGATAAGAGCCCAGTCTATCCTTTGGTATATTTGAACGCAGTTATTCTTTTAAATGAAGAAGTCGGTCTAGACTTTGTAAAGATGGAGTACTTGATGTTGGTTTTGTAGAGATGAAGTGCTCGGTCTATACTTTTTAAGAGATGTAAAGTTAGTTCAGATTTTGTATAAAACGAGAGCTTTGACGTTGTAGTGATTTAAGTTTAGTCTGGTCTCTATAGAGATGGAGAGCTTTGTCTATATTTTGATGCACATACAAAACATGAAGCACACTGTTTACCATGCTTACATGTATTTCCTCAACACATTCAAAATTGAATTTCATTAATTTAATAAATGTACACATCAGAAATAATTAAAAACGTACCTGTTGAAATATGAACATGTTACAGTTAGTTTTTCTAACGCCTCATTTTTGTTAATTTTTACAACAAACATGACACTACATTAATCTCAAAATATTTTGGTTTTAAAATGTAAAAGCCGGAATTGCAGATTACTTGTGAAAAGAATAAGTATAATCCGAAAGATACCAACCTGCTGTAACATCAGGTGGTTATAGACTTGTTATAACCATACTTCTGTATATGCGATAACATTAACCTGTAATCATTGGAGACATGTTAGGACCACGTTTTTACTTGTGAATAAGGTTTTGAATGTTTTGTATCCGTTCGTATATATGTGTCACGTTAGGAATTACCTTGGCATTAAGTCTGTGATGATTTTCTGTGTTTTCCGGTAAAATATGTATTGTATAGTTCAGGTCTTGTATGTGAGTGGATGTTATTTACCAAACAAATATGACTATGTTTTTATCACCACGTAATAGCCTCTCTAGGATAATGTGTATTAGATAACAACTTGTTTTGAACTGGCTGTTACGGGACTGCATTAATTACTCAGGAGTAGGGAACGGGCTGAGCTAATATTATCTATCAACTTGTCACACGGCACCAAATATGTTTTTGCATGTAAGGGGCAATCACTTTTCGACATTCCAGAATCAAGACTGTTCGCCCATCCACACATGCTAGTATTACATACTATTGACGTAGCCAGCCAGACGGAATACCTTCATCGTTCCCCTATCCCCTAACCATATGATCCCATTCAATCCACAGCCTATCAAAAAGGGACGTCCAAATCCCTCTTCCGCGCCAGTCACCAGAATACCTATGAATCCAGCACTGGCGTCAAGCATCAACACGGATGCGCTGATTTGGTCGACAACAAGAATGTTACCATCAGGGTCAAAACAAATACCTGCAGGGTTAATACTTCGGGATCCCGTATCACCAAACATATGAAGCAAGTTGAACAACCCGAGACCTGTTGATTCTATGTTAAACTCTCCAATGATTTCGCCGCTCTGCACGAAGACTGACACAATATTTCGTTCAGAATCACTCATGCAGATTGTGTCATTGATCTGGTTCACTGCCACGACACTAGGACAACAGCGTTCTCTACTTAGGTCAGCAAGAATCTTCTTTCCGTCCCTAGACAAGACCACGATTTTACCTTTTACAGAAGGTTCTTCCTTTTTGTCCTCTTGATCCATGCTGTCTGAATCTTCTCCCAAATTCCGAAAGCTCTTTTCAAAAGAGACCACCGTTCCGACGGTAACCACGCGCTCATCTGAGAACAATGCCATGGACACACCCTCAAAGTTTCTTATCAAGCTAAATAGCTTCACGCTATTTTCATTCACAACAAATATTTCGTTTTTGGTTTGAAACAATACAGTTTTATCTTTCCGATACACCATGTCCATTATTCCCGTGTTTGGGGTAATGGTTGTTCCTCCGATAGCCTTGCCTGTGGAGTCATGCTTCTCGTATGTGGATGAGCAATTGACAATGCTGTAGCACGTGTTTTCTGGAGTAACACGTATACAAGTAATTAAAGCGTCGTCGCTGTCTTCTCTAACCAAGGAGAACGAGGATAATAAGTCCATTTTATATTTCGTTTTCATTCTCAGCAATGGAAACCGAAGGCTAAACTCCAGTGGAGTATCGTTGTAGGTATATTCGCTGTCTTCGTTTTCGTCTGACGATAGCTCAGACGACAATAGCTTAGACGACAGTGTACAGCGATGATCCCACACGCCATCAGCTGACAATGTCTCTTTGCAAAAATTACACTTCGGATATTCTTTGTAGGCGACACAAGAGCGGTCATAGACTTGACTGTCGCGGACAAAGTAATTGTTAAAGAAACCTTCCACTCCGCTAGGGAGCAGTACACAGTGAGTCCGACACAGGGGACATACCAGGAACTCGTTTAGATCCCGAGGACACGTGTTTTTACCATAATCCCTCAAACAATGTTCACAAAAAGTGTGTCGACATGGCAACAGCTTAGGTAACTTGTAGCTCTCAAAACAAATGTCACACCCCTCCTCTTCTCCGTCGTCTGTCATCTTGTCCTCCACCTCTTTGGTAAACATGAAAAGGAAAAGATATTACTGGAGTAACCATAATATATGGTTCCATGTTTTACCATAAATACAAACTACATTTTATATGTTTCAAAGAGAGTGAATTTTCAGAATTTTCACGACTGTTATCATACAAAGTTTTACACAAAAAACAAAGATAAACAAATGACTGTATCTACGGAAAATTTCTCGATTAGAGCGCCAAACAGCACTTTACAGGTCATAAGAGAGTCTGTCCAATTTAGTATTCGATAACTCGTTTTCTAAGTGTTTGATTAGCTCCTCCAAACATTGTTCTCATCCTGAACATATTTTGCTAAAAGTTGCTGAATAGAATATTTCAGAATTTAATTAAAAAATAAAAATCGACATGTAAAAATTAACCATTCAAAATTCAGCTAATTCCTTAAAATGCGGTAATTCAAATTGACATACTACAAGCTTTAACACATTTGCTATTTGCTAATTTAAAAGTGGGGTTGAACAATCTTGATATCCCTTAATCTCAACTTGCTAAATCTCATCGCTTTGGGCCTTTTGATTATCAAGTCGTTTAATAATTTATAACATTTGATCACTTTGGTTTTGTGTAACTTTGGTAGCGTCCCATCAACAGCTTAGGTCATTTAAGGACGTGTCTCCATGTGTGTAGTGTATGCATGCTTGCGTGTGTGTATGCAGGAGACATGGTATGTTGGTGTGCTTGCCTCCTTGTGTTAGCGCGGATCTGGTGCCGACTTTATAGTGCTATCTCACTGAATTGCCATGCCGAAGGCACCCGGCACAGCAGTCCGCCCGGTCACATTATACTGACAACGGGTGAACCAGTTGTTGCCATACCCCTAAATGCTGAACGTTAAGCAGGGAATAACAACTACCATTTTTAAGGACTTTTGTATGTCCTTGTCTGCGGACAGAAACCATTTCCTTCCTCAACTGGGTGAACGCTCAACATTAAAGCCGAAAGTGAGGTGTTGCCAAGCAAGGTCATGGAAATAAAAGGTAGTTAAAAATAGAAAGAAAGATAAAGATCCCAAATATTGCAATGGCCCTTTTGTGTCCCCAAATAGAGGACACCAAAGCAAATCCCCAATTCTGCAGAAGGGGGGTTCCCTCATTAGTCGCCTCCTAAGATACATGCAGTGGGTAACATTTGATCACAGTGACTATTTTTGAAGTTCGGTATGTTGAGTTTAGACCTGCTGACGTCATTTTTTAGGTTACTGCTTAAATAAGACGTTATCTATAGTCACAGATATTGACAAGAGTGCTACCGAATAGAGTGTTCCGTTTCACATAGATATTGACAAGAGTGCTACCGAATAGAGTGTTCCGTTTCACATAGATATTGACAAGATTGCTACCGAATAGAGTGTTCCGTTGGAGATGGATTTCCAACCTGTTCGAACCACACTGTATTACCTTCCCCTTTAGCGGCACTGCGAACATTGAAGTATTATTCATTTCTGTTCCTGATGAATGTTGAGGACCAATTTTGAACATGTCTGTTTGGATAGCAAGGACGCTGGTAACTCGGCATGTTATGATTTTGCCAACAAGTTGTTAGATGCCATCAACATAATTCATACTCCACTACAAACGTGGAAGCTTACATTCCAACGTTATTCCGATAAAAACAAAGCACGAATCACAGTTATTCAAAACCCAGTGCCTCCAAGTTGATTACAGGCAAGCGGTACCATAGAGGACCTAATACTAACTGCTCCGTTAGCATGCTCTAGTTGGACATTTCCACGCGACTGTGGTCCATCTGGACACGTAGTGACTGGTGATCGAAATATTTATCCATATGGTAAAGTAATGAAAACCTTCCATGAATATGGAGAGACTCCTTCTATTAACTGCAATGAGAACTTTAATATCGTTAAATACTGATAAATGTTGTGCAATACTACCCAACAGTTGGATAACAAAATCATGCTTAATTTAGATTTATTTTAGATGACTCAAAATCGAATTAGCAGCTTTAAATCCCAAATAAAAACACAAACACAAAATGCAAAACATGATGCAGTTATTGAACAGACACGGTGATTTTTTTTGGAGTTCGGTATTTTGATAGGAGTTTAGACTTGCTGATGTCATGTTTTAGGTTACCAGCTACCCTTCTCCAGACACAGAACCATGGAGTACAGAACAAAGCATCCCTTCTCCAGACACAGAACCACGGAGTACAGAACACAACATCCCTTCTCCAGACACAGAACCACGGAGTACAGAACACAACATCCCTTCTCCAGGCACAGAACCACGGAGTTTAGAACACAACATCCCTACTCCAGGCACAGAACCACGGAGTACAGAACACAGCATCCCTTCTCCAGACACAGAACCACGGAGTAAAGAACAAAGCACCCCTTCTCCAGACACAGAACCATGCAGTACAGAACACAACATCCCTACTCCAGGCACAGAACCACGGAGTACAGAACACAGCATCCCTTCTCCAGGCACAGAACCACGGAGTACATAACACAACATCCCTTCTCCAGACACAGAACGACGGAGTACAGAACACAACATCCCTACTCCAGGCAGAGAACCACGGAATACAGAACACAGCATCCCTTCTCCAGACACAGAACCACGGAGTACAGAACACAGCATCCCTTCTCCAG